GAGCATTTAGATCACTAAAGTAGTAATCTAAACACTCTTATATTAGTTTACGGAGGGAGTACATCAATCTGCCATGCAAATTAGGAGAGTATTGCATATTCATGGAGTGGTATTGTTAATAGTAAAGATACTTTCATCTCAGTTGACCAACAGCTTGTCTTTCACATCTAATTCACGGGATTTCCGATCACATAGACTAGGTTACCACTATGAACAACTTATATTGTCGATCTCATACCCATCTCCTTCGATGCAATATGTATCACATTACATGATAGACCCTTAGTAAAAGGAACTGCCAGATTTTTAAACGTTTGGATATAATACAATGCAATTACTCTAGAGTTTTTCCTTTTATTGATAGACTTTAACCTTCTCTAAACATGTCTTTATGACTTCATGTTATCCTTTAAGATGCTCACTTTCGTGATCACAGTTTGATTGTCGCAGTTCATAAGAATACCCGGTACAAATTTCTCAACAATCGATAAGTCATTCAAGAGCCGGCGAAGCCAATCTGCTTCGACCGTAGCTGGATCTAGTGTTGTGAGTTCTGCTTCCGTTGTTGAACTTGTTAAGATGGTCTACTTGCAAGACTTCCAAGAAACAGTGCCACCTCCATGAGTGAATACATATCCGCTCGTGGCCTTTATCTCATCAGCATCAGAGATCCAGTTTGAGACACTATACCCTTCTAGTACCTTTGGGTACCCAGTGTAGTGAATTCCATAACTCGCAGTGCCTTTCAAGTAACGCATAACTCTCTCTAGAGCTTTCCAATGCACATCTTCTGGTTTTGAGACAAAACGGCTCAGTTTTTAGCACTGGCTAAGTACATAAGCGAGCCAATAATCTGAGAATATTTGAATTGATCTCTAGCAATTCTTCAATTCTTTCGAAGCAGCATGCTAGCATCATATGGTGTTGGACGGGGCTTGCAGTCACTGTAGCCAAAGCAACTTAAGATCTTTTCCACATAGTGAGATTGAAGCAATGTAATCCCACCATCATCGTCTCTCAACAACTTGATGTTCAGAATGACATCAACCACTCATAAATCCTTCATCTCAAAACAATGAGATAGGAAATCCTTGACCTCCTTAATAACATTCAGATTTGTTGTATAGTCAAAAAAATTCTTTGTACAGTAAAAAAACATTCAGATTTGTTTCGAAAATCAGTGTGTCATCAACATACAAGCAAAGGATAACTCTCTCGTCCCCACCATGGCGATAGTACACATATTTATCAGCTTCATTTACAACAAAGCCTGCAGCTGTGAAAGTTTTTTCAAACTTCTCATGCCACTGCTTGGGCGCTTGCTTAAGTCCATACAAAGACTTCAGCAACTTGCACACTTTTTCTTCTTGACTATCTACTACAAACCCATCTGGTTGTTCCATGTAAATTTCCTAGTCCAACTCTCCATTTAGGAAAGCAGTCTTGACATCCATTTGATGAACGAGAAGACCAGGTGAGGCAGCTAGTGAAAGTAGTACTCCAATAGTGGTCAGTCAAGCCACATGTGAGTAAGTATCAAAAAAGTCTTCACCTTCCTTTTGGGTATAACCCATAGCCATGAGTTGTGCCTTGTACTTCTCAATAGTACCATCAGGCCTAAACTTCTTCTTGAATACCCATTTACATCCTATGGGTTTACGCCCATAAGGACGATCAGTTATCTCCTAAGTTCCATTTGCCAAGATAGAATCCATCTCACTATGGACCACTTCCTTTCAGTAGTCAGCATCCTCAGATGCGTAGGCCTCTGAAATAGAATTGAGAGTGTCATCTATGAGATACACAAGAAAATCATCACCAAAGGACTTTGCAGTCCTTTATCTTTTGCTCCTAGTAGGAACTTTATTGATCTCCTCCACAGGATTTTCAAAGTATTCCATCGAGATGGTAGTTCAATATTTTTAACTAATTCCTGACTTGATGAACTAGGCATCTCCCGATTTGATGAGGTAGCCATATCCTTCATGGGAAAGATATCTTCAAGGAAAGTCGCATCATTTGACTCCATGATTGTACCGACATGCATGTCAGATACCTCAGATTTTACAACTACACAGAAGAGATCCGCTAACATTATTTTCATTGACGGAGGGGACATAGTGCACGTTCTTCAACCGCATGATCTTCCCCGAAGTAAACTTCACATCGACCGTGCCAACACCACGAACAGAAGCACTTGAACCGTTACCCGTCAGCACGGTTGAAGTCCTTGCGGTCTGATAAGACAAAAACATGGAAATATCACCGCATACATGCACATTAACACCCGTGTCAATTAACCAATCAGGGGAATGACATACTGAAAGAATAGTGGGAAATATACCATACCCAACATCTTTCATGTCAATGTCACCAATGACCACATTAGCGGTCTTTCTGCCTTTCCCAAGATGACGCCTGTCATAACGACTAGGGCAACTAGGAGCCCAATGATCAGGATCTCCACACACATGACAAACACCTTTCTTCTTGTTATTCTTCTTCTTGAAGTTGGTGTGCTGTACAGCCTTGTTCTTCCCATCAAACTTTGTTTTACCATCAAACTTGCCCTTGTTCTTGAACTTGGGGGACTGGAAGTTTTTCTTCTATATAAGTTTGGCACTAGATCCTCCCTCAATACCTCGAGCACGTGTGTCCTTTGCTATCGCCTTTTCTTTCACATCAAGAGTACCAATGAGATCCGGAGCGGAAAACTCCTGCCTCTTATGCTTCAGTAAGGTAGCAAAGTTCCCCCACGAAGGAGGAAGCTTAGTGATGATGCCTCTGGCAACAAACTTGTCTGGTAGCATACAATTGAAGTGCTCAAGTTCTCTAGCAAATGACTGTATGAGCTTGCTCAACCATGGAGCGCTCTTCAGTCATCCTATAGTCATAGAATTGTTCCATGATGTACAGCTCAGTGCGGGCATCTGAGACCCCAAACTTGGCCTTGAGTGCATCCCACATATCTTTTCCATTATCAATTGACGCGTAAGCATCAACTATGTTCTCATCAAGAACACTCAAGAGAGCAGCCTTAAACAGGGTATTCATTTTCTGAAAAACTTGTTCCTGTTGAGCATCATAATCTCCTTCAGGTTTGCCAAGAATGGCGTCATAGCAACTCATGGTTTGAAATCATAAGACTGCTCTCACGTGCCACCTCTTATAGTGGATACCCTCAAATATAAGAGGTCTCTTGGAAGCAACAAAACCACTCGAGGTAAACTACCTATAATAAGGTTTTTGGATTGTTGCAAGTATGAGCAATTTAGCATATGATTTTATTAACAGAAATACTAGATAAAACATGACTAGTGTAGTACAGATGAAACATGTCATGTAATCTAGCAGAGTGAAGGCAAATAGCATATGAACATATGAACTAGAACAGAACATATGTAGAACATAGAGTGGAACAAGAAAGGCTAGAGCAAGAAACTAAGGCAAGATCTTAAACAGAGAGAACACGAAGACATACGGAGCAGCGGCAGAAGCACTGGTCTTGGGGTCGGTATCCTTGCTAGCCATGTCGTCGAAGAGGTTGTTGATGTCGGGGAAGAAGTTATCGTCGGGGAAGTAGTCGTCGGAGTCCAGGGCGCCCGTGATGAAGAAGTCAGTAGTCGCGTGGAGCGCTCCCCAAAAACCTTATCACCCTTTTTCTCGTACAGGACTCAAAGTGGTGGGGTTTCGGAGGCCTACTGTGTCCACTATAACAAAAATATTTTCAACTTCCGTGTGACCTTTCGTATACCAGTCGTGCGTGGCAAAAAATTAGACATCGGCTCATTCCCGCAACCCGCGTCGCGCCGAGGCAGGCGGTGGAGGAGGAGTGCACGTGAATGTCCCTCTTATTCGCATACTCATACATGTGGGGAAATAATCTTCCTTATAAGGAGGTCCAACTCCGTAAAATGCCAACGACGGTCGACCTCCATGGAGGTGGATATTTTGAAAAAAATCAAAAAACATATTTTTAAAGTTTCAAAAAATTCTGAAAAAAATCATACATGTTAACATGGATGTATTCTACATATGTGTAAATTTTTAAGATGAAATACATTATGATGAAAGCTACACAAAAAAGACAAATCGCGTTTTTCAGACCGATGAACAGTGCGAACACTGTTCACTATTAGAACTGGTTTTTCTCTTTTTTGTGTAGCTCTCACCATAATGTATTTCGTTGTCAGATTTTATACACATGTAAAATACATCCATATAAATGTGTAGAATTTTTTTCAGAATTTTTTGAAACTATGTAATTATTGAATTTTTCAAAATAACCATCTCCATGGAGGTCGCCCGTCAAAAGCCCTCACTCGGTCCAACTCCTATCAAACTAGTAATGTGGGACTAAATTTTTGTTTCACCTCTTGACTTGCATGAATGGGCTGCGTGGGCCTTTAGTATTTATTAGGAATTTCTGAAACTGCTATTGGACCGACCCAAAATAGACAAAATTTCAGCATTGACATCCGTGCAGGTTTAAAAAAATTGTTTATCAGTTGTTCCTTTCTTTTCAGTTTTAAATGTCAAAGATTACTGAATATAAATGACAACCCGCTTAGATTATTTTTCTCCAGACTCATCTGAGATTATTTTGAAAACACCTGCTGGTAATTCAAGATTGCTGCCTACTGAAACTTGGTTTAGCTTCCTCCAAGCAACAACGAGGACCACGAATCTTACCAACCGGTGGCCAGTTTGCTACCGCATTTGCACCATATACACAACAAAAACGTCAATATCGGTAGTCATATAAAAGTTTGCTCCTCTTCCGCACATCAATCATAAATGCACCAGAGACTAATGCTCCGCATCCGCCAACAAAGATGTTTACGTGGGTTAGCTTCCGCCAAGTACCATCTCTGCTTCAGCAAGAAAGATGGACCTTTCATATGTAGCTCTTCCCCGGCTACTTAAACAGTGCACCGCGTTCCCTCTCAGTCACACGGCCAGGGAAGAAGGGGTTACCGGCGGCGGCAGCAGCAGCAGCGATGGCGATCCGGCGACAATCATCAGCAGCAGCTTCTCCACTCCTGCCGCCGGTGGCTGCTCTTCTGTTCCTATGGATGTTTGGCGGTAAGTCTTGCTACATGCTGCAGTTTCCTAAATTTTTTTTACTATGCATGATAACTATTGCAAACTTTTCTGTAATTTCTCACTTACGCATATCATCGCTATTGTGTGTTTGTAACTTGAAGGGGGGCGTGTGATGGCACATACTGAGATTCGCAACATGACGGCACTCCAGAAACATGTCTCCTTTTTCGACCGTAACAAGGATGGCATCATTACCCCTTCGGAAACATTTGAAGGTGATTGATTTCTGCAACAAATTCTGCACGATTTAGTCTTACTAAGATAGTATACAAATCGCACATATCTGCAAACTGAGAAAAAAAATCTATGCATTTTCATGGATAAAAGAGAAGCTCAATAGATCTTTTAGCCTTAGCTACAGAGTACAAATTTGTCCACTGCCAAGCAGAGTTGATTGGCCACATCCGCTAAGTAATTGCACTCCCTGTGCATTTCACTCGAATAAAAAACATTTTCATTTATTCTAGAAAAACATTTTCATTTGGTCATGCCATGTTTGAGTGATTTTGCTGCTGTGTTCAACTTTTCTTCGTGCTGGTTACATTGAACTGAATAAAAATGACATTATATCCATACCACTGCAAAACACATATATTTAACTTTATATTATTTTAGTGTCTTAAGTAACTGGTTTTACATAGATGCGAGTCCTAAATACAGAGCACTCTATTGCTGGAGGCTTCATTTTATATTCTAATCCATGCTAAACTTGTACTTTGGAATGTAGGGTCTGTCGCAATTGGTTTTAATGTTACATATGCCAGAGAATTTGCCACCTTGGTGCATGCTGCTAATGGTCCTATAACAAGCCCCGTACTTCTCCTCTCCCTCACCCACACACTATTCTTTTAACATATAGACATGTTTGTGGATGAACTACGAGCTTGATATGTTATATCTTTTTTTCAATCCAGGCTGATGCACCATTGCCTCACTTATCAATATACATAGAGAATATGCACAAAGGAATGCATGGGAGTGATACCGGTGCATTTGATGTTAAAGGAAGGTAATTAATACAATGTGCTATTTAGGGACGGAGCTGCGATTTTTTGCAATCACTTGTTACTATATAGCTATTTGGCTAACCCAACTACTCCCTCCGTTCCGAATTACTTGTCTTAGAGTTGTCTAGATATGGAGGTATCTAGCACTAAAATGAGTCTAGATACATCCGTATCTACACAAATCCAAGACAAGTAATTCGGAACGGAGGGAGTAAAAATCAAAGCTGAACCCATTAACTCACGACTGTCCTTATTATTGCTTTGGTTTTGTTGTGAAATAGTCTACGATGGTATAGTTAGTTCACACCCAAATTTTTGGTGGGTTGGATTGTGTGCTCATCTATATAGTGAAAGCTTTACAGTAATCTTCTATATCTAAATAGCTAGCACCCACTAAGATATTTCTCTCAACATGCAAGCATGTCATCTCATCATTCAACATGCATAAGGAAATGCCCACCTCAACATGCAACTATGCATATTAAAAATCCACTACAACATGCATGCATGTAAAATTCCATTTTATTATGCTATTTACATTTAATTCTTATATACTTTCAGAAACTATTGTTTCAAGAATTCATGTTCCATATAATCAAAATCTCATTGAAATATTGCAAACATTCCCGCAACAACGTGGGGCATCATCTAGTTTTATTGATGTGTGCATCCACGGGTATATAGAGAAATACCGCTTAACTCAACTAATTAGTGTCTTTTAAAGGGAAATTTGCATGGGGTAAAATCTATTTTGATATTTTATATTATAACCAGTTTTATGCTGAACACCCAGGTGCACCAGCTCTATCCATACATATAAAAACAAACTTATGGGATGTCACATATCCAACAGCAGTAAAGCAATGCAGAGGACTTATAATGCTCTTCCTTTGTAACTTGGATATAATTTATTTACCTTGATCATTGGGTGATATTATGTACATTTATGCTTTGATATTTTATTCTCGTATATATGCTAGTTTTTGTGCGTATTTCTATCCTTCGAATCCGTATATATGCTAAACATGTCAAGCTGTAGGTTTGTTCCACAAAAGTTTGAGGAAATATTCGTAAAGCATGCAAAAACTAGACCAGATGGTTTGACATATTTGGAGTTGGAGGATATGATCCTAGCAAATCGAGATCCACTGGACCCTGCATCATGGTAATTTGTTAAATATGCATGCCGTGGTTATATCTGGATTTTGTTTTTTAACAAAAAACCTATGAATATGTGTAATTGCTCATGGTTCCTCGGTTTTTATAACAAATCAATTATTTCCTGTAAAAAAGCATGATTTTAATTAACGGAAGGGCAAAAGAGTTAGTTAAGATTATTGGCTCCTGCTAAGTTTTTCGTTTCTATTGTTATAAATTCAGGGAGGGACCTCAAATAGAATGGGGCGGAATATACAACGTCACGAGTGACAATGATGGATTTCTTCATAAGGACGATGCGAGAGGTATATACGACGGAAGTGTGTTTGTAAAGCTGGAGGAAAAGAGGGCCTTTTCTCATCATAGTGCAATGTAATAGAGTGCAACATGTTGTACGCTGAAATAATTAGGGGAACACATAGTGTGTGTACTAAGACTGGTATATATTTGTTCAAGTGTTTGTTTGCACATAAGTAAAATACTGTGATGTTTATCAAGATATATATATATATATATATATATATGAACTCTGAAAAAAATCGTCTAATGTTACAATATAAGTAATTTGCATATTTATATTGGTAAGAAATGTGCCGCTCGTGCCGCACCTTGATGGTGGCCAGACTAGATTCTTGAACTTTGTATGAATTCC